CTGTTGGTACTGGAATAGAACCCAGGCTCTCTGGAAGAGCAGCTAGTGCTCTTAACTGCTGAGCCATCTCTCCAGCTCCTTTCAAGTTTTAATTAGTATTTTTCCCACTTTTATTAATTATAGGAAATCAGAGAGGAAGGATCTCCAATAGAAACAATTATGTAATTATCAAGGATAACACCTGGTAAGGTTATGTACTGATAATACAGATAGCTTTGCATATATTAATGCCTGTAAGTTTTATTATTAATGGTATGAGTGGAAGGCTAGTCACATACAAAATGAATCAAAGGAGAATTTAATTTTGTGAGCAGTTTAAATATTTGATGATAATTTTTTTGAGTTTTTTCATGTAAAAGCAAATTGTTTTAAGTATTGTAACCTGAAAAAAATGCAGGCAGGATTATGACTACTATGTTGAAAATTTGCAGGATGATAGTTAACAGTAAACAGTTTTAATACAGTCTGTTAGCAGTAATTTTCAGGTCTGGCTGTATAATTTTTTTCACCTGTAAAGTATCCAGAAAAATTAAACAGTAAGCAGTAGGCCCATGTAACAATGTGAATGTAAAGGTGATACATGGTCAAGATTAATACTCACAGATACATGGCTAAGTAATACATTTGTTTGACAAACTTGAAAAGGATGGAGAGGGAGGTTTTGTGTCCACTCCATTGTTAGCTTTTATAGTGATGGTATTGTATTGAGGTCCTTAGTTTTTTTTTAGTTATTATCCAGTCAAAGGTCTGGATGCAATCAAGAAACAAATTATACTTCCAGTAGCATTCCTTTTTAAAAATAATATCAAAGACGGGGCGAAAGGTGGTCATAATTAAGAATAGCATTTTGCTCTGGTTTTTATTGAGTGATTATTTTTGATATAAATTGTGTGTGTGTGTGTGTGTGTGTGTGTGTGTGTGTGTGTGTGTGTGTGTGTGTGTGTGTGTTTTTAATGTCTAGGCACAAGGAGGTGCTTTTGTTTGTTGTTAGTTAAGATGGGGTTTCTGTATCGCCCAACAGGACTAGAATTCCCAGTCCTTCAGCTTCCCAAGAGCTGCTTCAGGAAGGTGATTTTTATCTTGAGAAAGAAATTTAAGTTTCATTCTCTGTTTTTTATATATGTCTTAATTATAATTTTAATGTTTTTTCAGTTATAAGAATAATTCTTGGGGCTGGGGAGATGGCTCAGCGGTTAAGAGCACTGGCGGCTCTTTTAGAGGACCCAGGTTCAATCCCCGGACCCCACATGGCCGCTCACAACTGTCTGTAACTCCAGTTCCAGGAGATCTGGTACCCTCACACACACATACATACAGGCAAACACCAATGTACATAAAAATAAATCTTGAAAAAAATAGTTCTTAAGTAGTGTCTGATGTGTCAGCAAAATAGAGTTAAACAATAGTATTCCTAGAGACATTTAGATGGGACTCAGTCCAACACAGGATGGACTCAATCAGTGACAGGAATTACATACTCCTAGGACTACATTGTCTGCCATACAAAGGTGGTTGTTTTTTAGTGTTTCCTTCTTGGATTTCTCTGCTTTGGCAAAAGCACCTATATTATTCAAAATCATGGGAAGTAACACTACAGTTTAACACTCTACATTGGCAACAAATGGAAAGGTACAGTGAACTTATACAAATTCAGAGTTGTCATTTTTTTATTTCACTTTTACATTGCACAGTTTCAGGAAATGCAACCAGATTCCAGTGTCATCATAATTAGGGTAAAACAGGCATGGAAAAGACACCTGCTTCATATCACCCCATCTCCAGTCCTCGACCAGGTTCAGATTCAAACCTTCCCTAGAGTAAAAGACCTACTTGAAAAATTTGGAAAGTGGATATTATACAGCTTCTCCTAGGCTCCATATTAACATCTAACAACCACTTCTAGGATCTGTACATAAATACACACCTACTTGCACATAATTTCAGTCCATTTTCTTGAATTTATGGAGATAGATATTACTTAAGCCTTATTTAAAAGAGATCAGAGAGGTAATATGTGTGTGGGAACCTCTTAGTAAAATTGTAAATGTCATTCAGCTGTAGAGGATTCATAAAAACATGGGCCTGAAAATTATATTTTTTCTTTCTAGCACCAAAGCAGTTGAAGACAATTTAAAATTGAGAAAGTGCTAGTTCATTTTCATCTTAAGCTAATTAGTAGCCACGATAGAGGGCAGAAGCTATATTGGCAGTGCAAGAAACATCCTGCTCCACTGACCCTCTCTCTTTCCTTTTCCTGTTCCTCATCCCTCTTTCTGCTTTAATTTTTATTTATTTTTATTTTCTGTGTGTGGGTGTATTGTCTGCATGTATGTCAGTGCACCATGTACACAATCTAGGGCATTAGGGCAGGGAATGAAGAAACAACAGACACACATACAGAAAATCTGGGGTTGGGTGGACTGTGCGCTCTGGTGGACACACACCAACAACAGCCACCAGGAAACCCATCAAATTGATTTTATACATATGAATTGAGGAGGTGGGTTTGTTGTATACAGCTGAATGAGGAAGCAGGTTTAGCTGATCTAGTAGGGAGTGGATCACTATAGGGAAGCAGTCTCAGGGCTGCAAACATCCGGGAGGAGGAAGCTGCAGAAGACATTTTCTGCACACACTATCAACATCCACACATGTACCAGGGGAAGGAAGGCTCTGTCCTTTCTCTGAGCCTGATTCAGGGAAAGCTTCGCCAGTCGCATTGGTCTGAGGCACTGGGATACTTGACATGCATGCTCGCGTAAACAACACACATTCAATTAGAACTTCCTCTATTCCCCACAGTTAACCTTTACTTACATTTTAAAAATGTGTTTATTTTTATGGTGGTGGTAATCGAACCCAGGGTCTTGTATGTGATAGGCAAGCACTCTACTACTGAGATAAACACCAAGCCTGAGTTTCTCTGTTAGTGTTTTCCAATTATTTTTGGTTGACTCTGTACAAATTTTGAAGGCAGTGTCTTATTAATTATTTCATAAGCTTAAGTTAAAAATAGCAAAACAGAGATGCTTTATACTCAGGGTCATTATTACTTTTTGGGGTAAATTTTACAAATAATATTTTCACAAGACACACAAATGCAGACAGCAATATACACAAACACAGTAGACATTTGGAAAACTGAAAATTCTAAGTAGTCTTTCTTTTAACATTATTTTAAAGATTTACATATTTGACATTTGAATAACTCACCAAAAACTCCTTGTGGTTAGTATTTCAAAATATTGTAATTGAGGAATTATCATTAAAAAATAAGAATGAGGATCTAAGATACTGCTTTCCTACCAGTATAATTAGAAACTGTTTCTGATATCTATCAAAAGACTATCTTATATATATAAGAAAATGTATTCTATTCTAAGCAAAGAGAACAGAGGACTGAAGAGAAGGTTCATTGATAAAGAGCACTGCTGCTCTTCCAGAAAACCCAAGTTTAGATCCCAGCACCCAAATGGCAGCTTATATCCATCCATAATTCCAGTTACAGAGGATCAAGTCTCCTATTTTGGCCTCCTTGGGCACTGTGCAATAGACATACATGCAGACAAAACACCCATACATATAAAATAAACATTTTAGTTTTTTTAAGAGAGAGAACCGTGAAGTCCTAGAAAGTTTTACATACATGAGCATTACTTTGGGTCTTTTAGATACAGTGAGTCTGCTTTTAAAATATACAAAAGAAGCACTAGAAATATATTGTCTTAAGTGAGACTTTAGGACAATAGATTCTGAGAGATCACAAGGAAACTTTCATATAAAGGCAAAGAATCATAGTTTCTTTGTAGAAAAAGGTGATCACCCCATTAATAGGATTTCTGACTTATATAGTTATAAGTAATTATTTCAAGTTTAGAAATAATTTGCATTGTGCTTTCTGTTCTCTGATATGTTTGTTGACAAGAAGATCCTCAGAAGTTGTATAATAAATTAAATAATCCCAGTCTAACTTTTTCTAAATTAGCATATTGTTGTAAAGATAATAGTTGAGCTTCATTTGGACTGTGGGTGAAATAATATGGCTGGCAGTAAAAAAAATACAGTGTTGTTTCTTTAAGATGCTGTCCCAAATTTCACTAGCATAAGTTTACAGTAGATTGATTAATTTTACCATGCATTTTAGGAGAAACAAAGAATTGCAGTTACTTACTCAACTAATTCAATGGGATCCAGATAGCCATAACCCCTTTTTATTTGTGCAATTGTTTTTATTTTGAGGTGTTTTGTTTGGGAAGGTTTGTTTGTTTGTTTGTTTGTTTGGTTGGTTGGTTGGTTTTTAAGACCAGGCTGGCCTCAAACTTGTGGCAATACTCTTAACATATTTATATACAAGTGTGAACTACCCCTCAACCTATTATGAACCCTGCTTTATAGGGGATGAGAAGATGAAGAGTGACGATTTGAGGAGTAAAAAATGAGTTTAAGTGGATGGATGTGTCTAGGACTTACATAGTGCTTAGAAAATTACTGTTTGGGGAATTGAATGAGCCTGCATAAGAGATAGACAAAGCTTGTATCAAAAATCTGTCCAGGTATTTATTTATTTATTCAATCTTCTTTGTGAAGATACGAGTTTATTTACAGAAAATGCATGGAAAAGACTAAATGCAATTACTTTCTTCTTTGAAGTATCCAGCAGAGTATCAGAGTAAATACACTTTACATCTACTTCTTTCCAAGAACCTTTATTATTAAATTATCAGCATATCAGGGTGCCATATTTTGAGGTGAAATTCTCTAGATGCCTCAGATGCTTTCTTTAATTAGTATATTATTATAGAATTGTACTGTTGGCTTTAGACCAGTTGGTTCAAACAACAGTTTTGCTAAGTCAACAGTTAAGAGATTTATGAATTTTAATTCCTTGACAAGGTTTTGCACCTTTCCCTGCTACTCTTGACTCCTCAGAATTCTAAGCTTGGTAAAAACATGGAGAAATATCGTGCAAAGCTGACCTTCTCCTTCTTTCTCTTGGTTAGTGCTCTGGAGAAGAGAAACGAGTTGGTACACGTACAGTATTTGTTGGCAATCATCCCATTTCAGGAATGGAAACTTATATTGCACAAAGATTTTGTGATAATAGAATAGTCTCATCTAAGGTAAGTTGTGTTTCTTTTTTAAACTCATTGGATGCTCATATAAAGTTGCATATTTTTATTTATGCTTCTAAGGAAGCTGGTGTACTTAAATATGTATACACACATGGTCATATACTTAAACAAATCATAATACCAACTGTAGTAATTATTCCTCTGAAAGGTAGTTTACTTTATAAAAGCCCATTATTTTGTCTGGTTATAACTTTCACTTGCCTTCCATTATGATTCACAGTGCCTGTTGATTATGCACATTAACTTTAGGCCTTAAAATGTGCTACAAGTGGTCATTATTGTGCTGAGGAGGAGTGTTTATCAGTGGTCAAACATTTGCCAACATTTTGCAGGTTTGTGGGGCCTTTGTAATTATTTTCTTGTGTAAAGCTTTCTGAATTGCCTTTGAAAGGATTAGGCTGTACATAATTTACAGTCTTTTGGAGGGTGCTTAGTGACTTTCATTTGCATCTCTTCTCTCTCCTATCTTCTGACTTGTATTTCTGGTTCCTAAAAGGGTACATATTACCTGTATACTGCTTGACCTATGCCCTGTAAAGTTTAATCACAGTAGCCATCACTTTTTGAATAATGATCTTACTTCAGCGTGGTATAAGCTAAGAGCAGTGGCCTGCAAGTTTGAACACCTGCATTTAAATCTTGATAAACTATTTGCTAGCTATATCACCTTTGACAAATTAATCAATACAGTTTATGAAATGGCTAATACTTCATATGTGAAAGCACTTTTTACAGCTCTTAGTACCTAGTAGTCATCACTCTGCTAATATTAATTTACTGGTCTTTGTTACTGGCAGACCAGGCAAGGTGCTAGGTAGTAGATGGCTGGTTTACTATCATCTCTTATAACATAGAACATATTTTGATAATGTTCTTGATTTCCAAATGCAGCCTGGCAAGGGAGAGCTAAAACATTGGTGACATTTAACTCAGTGTACACTTGCAGTCAGTTAGGACCCGAAACACAAAATCATGTCCTTCCTTTAATAATACACCACATTTTGGTATTCAAAAATTCCTTTGGTTTCTCCTTTAGGTAATGGCATAATGGAGATTGTTTTTAGTTCAAAGATTAGTATGTAAAATATAGGCAGAAGCAGACAGATCTCTGTGAGTTCCAGGACAGCCAAGATTGTATTGTATGAGACATTGTCTCTACAAAAAAAGAAAACATTAATATGTAAAATATAAATGTGACAACTAAGTAGCCCACTGAACAGGTATGTATATAGGCATGTAGAACACTGTGATATATCAGATAAAATGTTGATTTTCTTTTACTCTTAAGCCTTGTCACAGAAATTTTATCCTCAGTCAAGGGCTCATATACTTGTATCTGGGATAGTAAATTGTACTTGCTCTACAGATTTTTAACTGTGTTACCCAACTAAGCAATCACTTATAGACCTTTGGCTCATAATCATAGATTCGTGGAATTAAAAGGTCCTATGAGGTTTATCTTGTTGACTTAGAGAAACTAAACCCGGAGAAAGTTCCCATCATGATAAGCAAGCACTTAGTGAAAAAGCCAGAAACAAAACTTCTGTATAAGGCCCAGTAACTTTGAAGAAAAGAGCCCTTTTCACATAATACTATTTGTACACCTTCCTCATTTTTTCTCTTTCCACATCAAAATGAAAGAATTACGATTTTCTATAATGTCAAATATGGAAGACGATAAAGTGATATGCTGATGGTGACTTTTCATTAAATTAATGATAATTGTTTTGTTTCACTTTTGTTCTCAATCTTTATGTATTTGATGGAATGCTTCTCCATATTTTATGTAGCTTCCAGTTTTATTTGCATTGAAAACAATGCAATACCATGTTTTTGTTTTTATTTTTCAAACTGCACATGAGACAACTAAAATTCTGTTCCTAAACAAAACCATGATACAAAAGTGAACATTTTTGTACAGATAAAGACTAAGATACCTCTGTGCCCCCTTCTCTGAATATCATGTTTATAGTTTATCTAATTAACTGATTTGCTTTTTAATAAAACAACTGTTGAGCCAAACAAAGAGGAATTGGCAATACAGTAATTTCAGAAAAAGAAGAAAATGTTTTTATTGTTTGTTTTTATTGAGACAGAATCTTGATATGTAACCCAGGCTGACCTTGTACCAGCTATATAACTCAGGCTCGCCTCAAACACACATTTTTTTTTGCCACCACCTCTGAAGTGCTAATATTACCAGGTTTAGAAAGAAATGTTAATACCATAACCTTAGTATAATGAGTGATAATAGTGCACAAGTTTTTGGTGATGAAGTCTCATCCCTGGGGACAGAAGACTTGTGGGTTTTTTGTTTTGTTTTGTCTTTGTTTTTGAGACAAGGTCTCAATGTGTATCCCTGGCTATCCTGGAACTCACACACTCTGTAGACCTAGACTGGCCTCACACTCACAGAGATATGCCTGCCTCTGCCTCCCAAGTGCTGGGATTAAAGGTGTGCTGCACTACCAGCTTCAAAGACTTGAGTATGAAGTTAAAACTTGAACCTTAATTCTCTTATGCAGCCTGGTCTACAGAGCGAGTTCCAGGACAGGCTCCAAAGCTACACAGAGAAACTCTGTCTCGAGAAAAAAAAAAAAGAAAAGAAAAGGAAAGAAAAAAAGAAGAAAAAAATCTCTTATCTATAAAATAGGTATATTGAATTGTTCATTTCATGAGGTTGTAGTGAGGATAAAAATAAAGTGATATACATAAAGCATTACTACTGTGTTTGGAATGTGTTAATGCCTAGTAAATGCTATCTTTCTGTGATTATTCCAGTGCATTACTATTGATTTTCTTGGACTCTTGTGATTTGAATGTATAGAGAGGATCCTTTTTAGTAGAGGGCCTTTGGATCTACTCTGGAGAAACCAACAGTTTTATAATTGGACCTTATCTTCCTCACATTACCTTTTGGTTCCATATATTTGTATCATACTCTTTTAATAGAAGAAATATACAGTTTATAGAACATGTCTTGCTGTCTTCCAGCTTCAACAGTAGCAAGTGTTATTTTCCTTTCTCTACTTTGTCATAAAAATAACTCTTGGGGGTTTTTTTGGTGTTTTTTTTTCTTTCTTTACAAATAACCCCCTGTAAAGTCAGTGTAACAGGGAATGAATGTTGTTAATACAGGGAGCACTGAAGAAACACTTTGACCTTTAAATTTTATGTACTTTTAAAATTAGTGTCTCTTTTTCTTCTGGGAACACAAATACTTCCTTAGGAAAAAAAATGTCTCTTGAGGCGTTACTAATTTAAAGTTCTCTGTGGAGACTTTTGGTTATCGCCAGAATTTTGTAGCTGCCACAAAATTGGAAATTCCCTTCCTTGGCAAAAGGAACATTAATTACACTGCTATTGTTCTTAAGTTCTTTAGTTTTTTGTTTTTTTTTTTTTTACTTTGGTTTTGGTTTTTGTTTTTGTTTGTTTGTTTGTTTGGTTGGTTGGTTTTGTTTTGTTTTGTTTTACAAATTCTGAACTTCAGTGTGCCTTCAGTGAAATAATCATTGAGCTATCCATAATTCATTTAGAAAGTTAAACTTGTCTTGGATCAGAATTTTAGGTCATTTTCCCTAATTCAAAAAACTGAATTGAGACCTGTAAATTGGCTCCGTGGGTAAGGTGCCTACCACCACACCTGGGTTCAATCCTTGGGACCTACATGGAGTAAGAAGATTACTGACTTTCATCAGTTGTCCCCTGACCTCTACATGCACACTGTGGCACACATATGTGTGTTCTTGCATAAACATACAACAAACAAATAAATGATTAAAAAAAACAGAGTCATCGATAGTGCAGTTTATTAAAACTGAAAGGACGTCTTTCTCTCAGTTTTGTCTAATGCACTAAAAATAACCTTTAAATTTTACTAATTCTGATTCAGTTTTAGTCAGAAATTGGAATTTACAGTGGATAGAACAGTGTGAAAAATGAAAGTTCTGTGTGGCATTGTTAGTAGTGAAAATGAAGGTAGACTGCAAAGCTTAAAATTCCATTTAATGCCAACATAAAAGAAAATTGATAGTAACTTGGATATAGTAATTTAGCAAAGTGAACAGTTACCAGTACAGATACTTCCTGATAATTAATCTTGCTTTTTTATTCTATTGCGTCCAGATGGCTCTAGTAGTTACAGAAGGTTGTTTTCTTTGTGCAGTTCAGTTTGCTGGTAACTTTATCAGTTACTTTTTAAATAGTTACTATTTCATCTTTACCTGTGTCCCTGTTCCTTTTTGTTGTTTGTTTGCTTTTGACAAGATTTTGTTATTTTGCCCAGATTGGCTTGCCTATGTAGTCCAGGCTGTCCTTGAACTCCTGGCAATCCTCCTACCTCACCTTCCTGAGTTAAGATTACTGGCATGTGCCACCACGTCCAACTTTATTTCCCTTTTGCTGGTCCTATACAGAAACATTAGAACACATTACTTAGAGCTTTATCCTCAGCATTCTTAATGCTAAGAGAAAAGTTTGGGGAACTTCAAATAAAAACAGTTTTTTTCCCCTCTCATCTCTGATGCTTGGGATCAAGCATAGAAGCACATGCATGCTGGGTAGTCACTCTTATCACTAAGCTATGCATATCCATACTCTAGGCCCAAATCAAGTAAAGCTCACAGCCTTCAGTCTCTTAGTTCATACTCATTTCAGCTTCCCTACTTCATACATTTGCAGATTTATTTGATAGAAAAAATTGGTTTTATATTATTTTAGATAGTAAATATTTGAGGCAGTAACACAACTTTTTCATATAGTATCAGTTTTAGAAACCATGTGTATGTACCAACTACAAAATAAGTGAAAAATACCCTCTATAAAAAATACTTGCAGGTCTGGAGAGATGACTCAGCAGTTAAGAGCTCTGGATTCTCTTCAAGATGTCCTGAATTTAATTCCAAGCACCTGAATAGCAGCTCACTGTAGTATCTGACTGTAGTTCCATGGGATCCAATGCCCTCTTCTGGTGTGCATACACGCAGATAAAAACACCCATATACATAAAATACATACCTAAATAAATGTAAAAAAATTAAATACAAACAAATTAAAACCTAAGTGGCTGGGTACACCTGTGAGGGATTTTAGCCCAGTAGTGGTGGTACGTGCCTTGTATCCCAGCACTCAGGAGGCTGAGGCAAGCAGATCTCTGTGAGTTCAAGGCCAGCCTGGCCTACAGAGCGAGTTCCAGGATAGCCAGGGCTATACAGAGAAACCCTGTATCAAAAAACAAAACAAAACTTGCAATGCTGGTATTTTTGTGTAGAAACAGTTAAACATGTTTTTAAGTATTTGGACTAACATTTAATTTTATTGTTCCATACTAAAATAGTATAAAGGGAGTTGGAGAGAGCTCATCAGTTAAGAGCACTTGATCTTCCTAGCACTGACATGGAGGCTCACACCTTTCTGTAACTCCAGTTCCAGGGGCTTCAAAGGCCTCTTCTGGCCTCCATGGGCACCAGACACACATATGGTGCATAGACATACAAACAGGCAAAAACACTTATATACGTAAAATATAAGTAAATTATTTCTAAAAATAGTATAAGGATTCATTTACTCCTCTGGGCAAGAACTTGGGACAGAAAATCGATTTTCATCACTGTATTTAAAACAACTATTATTTATACTTTTGTCCTGTGATTGGCACTGTTTTGGTTTGTAACAACAGGCCAAGTCTGAGAGTTCAGTTTTTAGATAAACAATTAAATTTTAATAACTTCATGTATATGTCTATAGTTCCATTTTGCTTCTAATTAGAAAGCTCATTAAAAAGAATTCTCTTAATCTGTGCTAAAATATTGGTTTTAGTATATAGAATAGATGATTGTATCTTAATTTGCCTTTTAATTAAATCAGTGATTTAAATGGCCAATGTACAAATTTTACTCATGATTTCTTGATGTAAAAGTCTCAGTGGTGGCTTAACAAGTGTAGTCCTAGGAATTGGTAGGCCAAAGCAGGAGGATTGCTCTAACTTTGAGGTTAGCCTGAGCTGTATATAGTATGAGACCCTGCTTGAAACAAACATCCTTGTGTTTCTTGCCAAACACCATGACAAGAACTTATTATGGTAAGGGAGGTTACAACACCCTGAGATCTTAGCTCATGCCCTGATGAAGGAAAGAAGAGCAATAGTTTCCAATGAAAGGACTAACCAAAGTTCTTAAGGAAAAAGTTAATCTGGTTAAGTGGGACATGTACTTCAGTGGTGTAGCTATATAAAGCCCTATTTAAATCCTAAGCATTGCAAAATAACAGCAGTAGCCTAATAGGACTAGATTTAAAAAATATTCCCTTTGAACTGTTATTATTACCCCAATAAGGACGTTTAAGTGGCCTTAATGCTTACCTGTTTAACTTTAAAAAAAAATGTTTAGTTAGAAAGCAAAAGGTCAGTGTCCCAGAAGTTCAGTTATTAGCAGTTTATTAGAGTTTAAATTTTATTTATTTACTTCAAATTGATGGGGGCAGTTAAATGCTGGTTTTGGATTATATTGGTTTCAAAGTGACTGTATCACTGGTTTTGAATGCTTACCATTTTTTATCACAAGCAAATTTGAGAATATCATGAAAAATGTGGAGTCTCTCCCAAATAATACACATCCATGCTCAGTCAGCACTTAATTTTGTTGGTTGGTTGGTTGGTTGGTTGGTTGGTTGGTTGGTTGGTTGGTTGGTTTGTGGCAGTTTCCTTATGTAGCCCAGGCAGACCTGAAATTCATAGAGAACTGGCTGCCTCTGTCCCTCAGTGCTGGGCTTAAAAGTGTCCCTGGCATTTCGTTTACTTTTTTAATTATGAGTGTTTTGACTGTGTGCATGTGTGCCATTGTGTGTGTGTGTGTGTGTGTGTGTGTGTGTGTGTGTGTGTGTGTGTGTGTGTGTGTGTACGTACTACATGCATGCTTGGTGCCCTCTGATTGTTAGAGGAGGACATCAGATGGATGTGAGCCATTTTGTGTGTGCTGGGAACTGAACCCTGTTCTTCTACAAGAACAGGTGCTCTTAACCCTGGTCCTCTCTGAGGTACCTCTTTTGGACCTCAGAATTATTCTTCAGTTGGCTGTTGATTATTTTCTTAGTTTGCTTTCTATTACTGTGATAAAACACCATGACCAAAGCAACTTTAGGAGGCAAAGTATTTACTTTACCTTATAGTTTATCATCATGAAGGGCAATCAGGACAGAAACTGGAGGCAGGAATTGAAGACCTCAGAAGAACGCTGCTTCCTGGCTTGTCCCTCCTGGCTTGCTCAGTTTGCTTTCTTATACACCCCAGGACCACCTGTCCTGGGATGGCACTACCCATAGGCTTGCTTGAAGGTCATTCTGATGGGGGCATTTTCTCAATTGTGATTCCTTCTTGACAGGTGACTCTTGCTTGTGTCAAGTTGACCAAAAACAAAACAACAAAAAAACCCCAAACCTGTCCAGTACAGTCCTACTGTAGCGGTTTACCTCCTTTTGTCCTCTCTCTCTTGAGATTCTCTGAACTTCGAGAGCTCCTAAGCCTTGTTTAAAAGAGGTGTTAGGGGCCAACAAGATGGCTCAGGTAGTAAAAGGAGCTTGCCATTAAGTCTGGCAACCAGAGCTTGATACCTTAGACCCACATAAAGATTTGGAAGGAGAGAGATCATGCCACAATATTATCATCTGACCTCCATATGCACACCATAGTGCATTCATCCCCTCTTATCCACAAAATAAATACATAAAATTCTTTAAAGTAAATTTCAAAAGCTTTAAAGCTATTAGTAAATTCTCATATATTCTGTCATGCTCTGGGACTTTGGCTTTCCAGTTGCTTTATCAGTGGATATCATGATATGCAAATGATTGGAATAGAGACTTTCCAAGTATAAATTTAGCCTTTTACCTTAAAAGGAATTTTTTTTCATTCTGGTTTCAAGTCTTCTGTATTATGATATGTCTTACTTCTGTTGATTTTTAAATGGCCCAGTCATTGAGCTTAAGGCATTAATAAGAAATTACATGTTGTGTATGCACTCAGATTGTGCACGTTCTCAGCAGTCATGAAGATAGGCAGTACTGATAGAGACAAAATTTTATCTCTGACAATGATCTGAACTCAAGTGATCAGCCCAAGCCAAGAGAACTCATGTGCTCATTCATTCATCCAAATAACTTTTATCTATACCAGGAATTGCTAGAAGGAACATTAGGGAAGACAACTGAATGATGTATTTCTATGGAAGTCATTGCCTATTGAGGGAAAAACCTTATTGAAAACATACACACATTTACAACTTACAGTAATGGTTAAAAATAAGTTCAGGGTCTTAAAAAAAGAGATCATCACTCCAATTAAAGTGTCTTGACAAAGTAAAACTAATTTTGATCAGAAAAATGAGCTACTCACAAAATGGAAGAACAGGCACACCAGGACAGCAAGTTCACTTGGTTTTTATTCTAATGCAAATGGTGACTGTGTTTTTCCCGTTGGTTGGGGTCTGACCTCATAATCTTTTGTGAATGGATTGTAAATGAAGTTTAATTAAATGAGTTGCAACTCAGCAAACAAAAGTTTTATTCAGTCAGGTTGGGAGATTAAAAACATTTGCATAAAGGTTTTACAAAATGGGAGAGATAAAAATGACTGGAACTCATTAATAGCAAACAAAAGTTTTACAGTGTTTACAAAAAGCTAATATTTAATGTTTTATGGTAATGAATGCTGTCAAAGTACATGTAATATGATATGAGAGCATATAGCAAGGAATCTGTTTTAGATTGGGTTTGAGAAATAAAAAAAATGCAGTACTTAGATGGCAAATGAAATTTTCAGTGAAGCTTTATTTCTGAAAAAAACCAATGTATTCTGTACCTCTAAATATATGCTGATGTAACATGTGGTATGAGTTTTCAGTTGTTTGCTATAATAAATACTTCATATGATAATAAGACTTTTTAAGTTTCTTTTCCAATAATACTTTTGGTTCAACCTCTTTTATAGTATACACTTTGGAATTTCCTCCCAAAGAATTTGTTTGAACAGTTTAGAAGAATTGCGAATTTTTATTTTCTCATCATTTTCCTTGTACAGGTAAGAACTCCATGAACTGCCACTTCAACATTGAGAAATTTGGTTGTATCAAACAATTTACAATTTTAAGTTGTCCTGTGACTTAAAAATATTTGGTTATTATTTTTTAAGTAGAAATATAATTTCACTTCAAGAATTATGTGATGTTATAAGTTTCTAAAGTTGTATTAGAAATGAGATTTTATTTTACTGTTTAATTTTTCATAGATTTTGTATCTTTATCTTAAATGTATATTGTATAACAACTTTGATTTGATATATATCAAAATTGAAAATAGTTTAACAATTTTACTTTGTTAAACACCAGGGATTTTTTGTGGTGGGGGAGGAAAGAGTTTATTCATCTTATATTTCCATATCACTGTTCATATTGAAGGAAGTCAGGATAGGAACTCAAGCCGGACAGGATCCTGGAGGCAGGAACTGATGCAGAGGCTATGGAGGAGAGCTAATTACTGGCTTGCTTCCTCTGACTTGCTCAGCCTTCTTTCTTATAGAACCCAGAACCACAAGTCCAGGGATGGCACCACCCACAATGGACTGGGCCCTCCCCCATTGATCACTAATTAAGAAAATGCCCTACAGCTGCATCTTCTGGAGGCATTTTCTCAACTGAGGCTCTCTCCTCTCTGATGACTCTAGCTTGTGTCAAGTTGACAGAACCAGCCAGTATACAGTTCCTATCTCAGCTTCCCAAATATGGGAATTATAGATATGTGCCACCATGCCTAGGCTTTTCCCCATTGATTCTAGGAAACTGTTTTTTTTTTCTTTTTTAGAGACATGAGATTGATTCTGCTTGCAAGAATCATTATTAAAGAGTGCATTTAATTAAGTTTATTTAAGCAAATATATGCTGACCACCTACAGTGTGTTGTACAGTAGTATCCAAAACAAAATATGATGATAAAAATACTGATTTTCTCTACCCTTAAGGAATTTATATTAAAGTTGTGAAAAGTCATGTATTGACTTAACTCAACAGATTGAAAGGGCTTCAAAAGTACATGATATCTCAACTGATCTTTGAAGGGTTAGAAGAAGTTTCCATGGCAGAGAATGCTACACCAGCATCTCAGGAATAGAGAAGAGGTTGCATAAAAGCATATACCTTGTAAAAGTCTATAAGTCTTATGTGTACACTTCTTTGTGTCGGGTAGAATAGGTCTGGCTGGAGGCTGGAGATGATAGTGAGATTTGAAGACAAATTGTAACCATGCCCCCCCAAAAAAAATCTAGTTCTCCTTCCATGTTTCTTATTTTGGTGAATAACAGCAACATTCTCCCAGGCGTGTTAATCAAACACTTGCAAGATATCTGCAATCAATAGTTATAGCTCATTACTTACCATTTCTGCCAATTTTTCTTACTGAATATCTTCAGTGCCTCTTTCCACATCTCTTACTTCTACCCTAATCCAAGCCATCATCTTTTACTTGGATCCCAGCAATAGCCTCCCAAGTAGACTCCTGTCACTCCTACTCTCTTCCAGTCTGTCTTTCACAAAGCATTGAGAATAAATTTTCATGTTACTTTTCCCTGTATAAACTCCTGAAAGATTCCCCACTGTGGAATGAATAATCAAAAGTCAACAGTTTTCCCTGCACAGTTTGACTCATGCCTGCCTCTCCAACACTATCTCACACCACACTTTTTTGGCACTTATTTTTGTTTTGTTTTGTTTTATTTTATTTCCTTGTACACATTTCACTTTCCCTTTTTAGAAGAGAGACTCTATATATTGTCCATTGTACCTGAAAACCTCTTTGAGATAGTTAACGCCTAACTACCCCATAGATCTCAGGCTTTATAATGTCTTATTTTCCTTATAAACTTTCAGCTATGTGAAGACAAAGACCTCTCCATCCTCTTTAAGCACTATTTCTAGCAGCTGGGTGGTAACAGTACAGGGGCTGGCACAATGAATGCTTTTCAGCCATTAGCTCATAAACCAATGTGCATATTTCAGTAAAGGAGGTCTTCTAATCTAGATAAAAGCTAGTGCTGAATTTTCTTAAATTAACTGTTATAGATTGTTTTTGTTATAATTAAAGTTAGTATTCATCTCACTAATGGAATGTATTTTGAAATATTTGCAACATGTAAATGCTACATATGAGTTAATAGCTAATTTTATTTTCAATTTAATTTCTTTACGTAGGTCACAGTAGACACACCAACCAGCCCAGTTACTAGTGGACTTCCACTTTTCTTTGTTATAACTGTTACCGCAATCAAGCAGGTAAATTTCTTACTTAAACTATGCCTGTCCTTTAATGCTCCTCAGTATATATATGGAATAAACATAATAGAAAGTACAAGTAGAAAGTTCAGCTCAGTATGGAAATGGGAAGTGGGTTTTTACTGTTCATTAATTATTCTAACATGTTATGTCTTAAAATTTCACATTCCAATGAATTTTAGTTATTGTTTCCTACAGCATAGAACTTAAGAGCACAAATACTTGAATTTCATTATCATCAGTAATACTGTTGAGGTGGGTGTTGGGTAGGGGAGAGTTTTATCTTTCCTCTCAGAGATGGTATGATGTGATTGTCTTTGAAGTATTTTGAACATTTTAAGTGTTAGTACCTTTAAAATTGTCCAAATGAAATTGAAAATTTAAACAGAAAACTTTAAGTAAGAGGTGGGTTAACTGTATAGGAACAGACCAGGATCTGCTTATTTGCAAACATATTTTTAGATAGTACCTATCAACATGCTTTTTGAAAGTACCTTAAGGAAACGTAGATTGAAGGAACAAGGTTACCTTTCCTCCTAGGGTTATCTGATCTTCTCTTTTGCCTACCAGGAGTTTTACAAATAGTTTTATCATGTATTTCATTGCTAAATAAAGAATTGGAATGTTCTTTCCCTTTGGCTATCTAGATTATTTTCCTTAATATCATAAATTTTTAGTTCTAAAAATACCATGCATGGTTCTCAAAGGGCTTTACTGATTCATTCTACTCCCAGTCCTAGTTCATGCTGTATCCTTCCTTTCTTCATCAGCATCAGAGAATGTACCCTATGAAATGATAGCCTAGTGTTTTCATAAAGAGGGACAGAATAAGAATGAGGAGAAACAAAGGGAAGAGGGGAGAAAAAGCGATCAAGAGATTTTTTTTTCCAAACAGATTATATTTGAAAAGGCACAGATATTACAGTGAGGGAAAATAAGCATTGGATACAAAAAGAGGAGGTCATGTTCAAATGAACATCCTGCGTCCTTAGCTCTTTTAGCTTAAATCTATTCCACATGAAAAGCCTAAAGGAAAATGAACCATTAAATCTCTCTGATTATTTTTTAATTCTAAAAGTAAATACCAATTTCTATTTTCTGTAATCATTAAGTCAGTGGAAAATTTTGTTATCTCTACAATGTAAATTCTCTGGCAAAACAGTTTCAAATTTTCCTACTTTCTGCATGAGAAGAATTCCATTTCTAAGTGATTAAGTTTATAATAAAATGTCAGAACAATTATTTTTCAAATTAAAAGTAGAAAGACATGCTGGAAAGATGATTCAGTATTTAAGAGCACTGGCTTCACTTCCAGAGGACCCAGGTTCTATTCCCAGCACCCATGTAGCAGCACACAACCATTTATTACTCCAGTTCCAGAGAATCCGACACCCTGTTCTTACCTCCCCAGGCACTGCACATGCATCGTGCTCAGGTATACATGAAGGCAAAATGCCAACACACATAAAATAAAAACAAATCTTCCCAACAAAGTAGAAGTAATTATTGTTATTTATTAAGCTGCGCAATGTTATTCATTAAGTGGCGCTATTTACTGTGTGAGAAAAGCCACGAGGTACAACAAAACCCACTATAAGAGTTTATTAAGGGAAAGGAACAGAAGGGGGTGCTTAGGCCTATGGAAAGATCATTCAGGAAGAGGGGCAAAGGGATAAGTGGGACTCTCTTTCATAGATTGCCCCGCACATGCGCATATCTTATGTAGCTACGCCACACCTGCGCATAGATTACGTGATCACCCAACACAGGAATTACATAGGACGTAAGGCCCTGGGATGACTAAGCATCTTGCCTGGCTACTGGACAGTGCATGTGCGGCCATGTAGCTCATGGAGTGGCTAGGAATTCTAACAATTATAATGTTCCTTAATTCTTCAGACTTAAACACAATATAGGCATTCATTAGAGGAATAAGTCATAATTTTTCACAATGAAAATGTTAAGTCTCTAATATCTGTTTTATCTTTAACATATATCTGAAGAATTAAGGAACCTTATAATCCAATAAAGCTATTTGCCTAAGGAGTATGTTTAAAGATTGCTTCAAATTTTCTAATAATGTGTTCATCATTGTATTTGTGGCATTCTGTGTTGAAATTAACATTATAAAGTTATAAATACAATTTTACTTATCTTTAGGGATATGAAGATTGGCTTAGACACAGAGCTGATAATGAAGTTAACAAAAGTACTGTTTACATTATTGAAAATGCAGAACGAGTGAGAAAAGAAAGTGAAAAAATCAAGGTACTGTTTTACTTTTTAAAGCTACTCTTAATGGTGTGTGTGTGTATATGCCACAGAATATGTGTGGAGTTCAGAGGACCCAATTTCTGGAGTCGGTTCCCTCCTTCTGACATGAGTTCTGTGGTTCAAAATCAAGTCATCATGCTTACGTAGCAAGCACTTTTACGCTTTGAGTCATTTCCCTGGCCCCCACTCAAGAGAACTGCAGTCAGTCTTGCATGATAAAAATGTACACTTGAAAGTATACAAATCAGTGTGGTAGAGGTGCACACCTTTAATCTCAGCACTCATGAGACAAAGGCAGGCGGATCTCTGAGTTCAAGGCCAGTCTGGTCTACAGAGCAAGTTCCAGGACAGCCAGGGCTACATAGAAACCCTGTCTCAAAAAAACAAAACAAAACAAAAAAAAAAGAAACTGTACAAATCAGTATCATTTATTTGCATTTGCAGTGTTATATAACTAATGTTATATAACCATAGCTATTTACATTACTAGAAAAGGAAACTCCATACTAATTACATATTATTTCTTCTACCCAAGCCCTGTCAGCACTAACCTTTCTCAATGAATTTACGGTTTTAATATTTTACATGAATGAAATAATCCACTACATGAACTTTGTGTTTTCCATCTTTCAGAATATTTTAAAAATCCATTTGTGTTGTAGCATGTATCAATAATTCATTTCTTTTGATGGTTAGACAATAACATATTCTATGTTTGTACCACGTTTTCTTTATTTACTAGCTAATGTTTCTGTTGGGGGCAGCTATAGATATTGCTGCCATGAACATTCAAGGACAAGTACTTGTTTGAATTATCAGTTTTCAGTTCTTTTGAGTATATGCCTGGGTTGAGAATTGCTAGTCTTATGATAATTTTAATGAACTACAAAACCGTTTTTGCACAGGGGGTGTACTGTATATATTTACAGAGCAAGGTGGTATTCATATTTTATTCAAATTAATCATTGTTTGCTTCTTCTACCAAATAAGATCCCTGCCAGATGACATTTAAATTTTGCCACATCAAACTTTTTTGGTTGCCAGTAGATTTTTTAAATAACAAACTTTGTTGTTTAGAGCAGGTTTATGTTCACAGCAAATTTTAACAAAGTATAGCTGTGTAGCCAACGCTCTGCCACATACAAGGACCCTTTTCTATTATAAACATCAGTAAACCTCCTCCCTTAGCATATAAAATTTAGTTTACGTTAGTGTTCACTCTTAGTGCTGTCCATTCTATGAGGTTTGACAAATATATGGCATGTATTTAACATTGTAACATCATATAGGATAATATCAGTGTTGTGCCTCATTATTCTTCATTCTCCGTTAATCTCTGCAGTCACTTTTACTACTACATCTTTTTGCATTTTCCAGAATATTATATTGTAGGAACTATACCATATATAGCCATTTTTTTAGAGACTGACTTCTTTAACTTAGTAAACATTTACATTTCCTCCATATCTTTTCATGGCTTGATAGCTCATTTCTTTGTAGTGATGAGTAATATTAATTTTTCTGAATATACCAGTTTACTTGATTATCTACCTTCTAGAGAAGGAATATATTTTACTTTACACTTTTGTCAATTGTGAGTAAAGTTGCTACAAACATTCAAATATAGGTTTTTTTGTGGATATAAGTTTTCACTTCATTAGATTTAATATCTTCATATGGAGATTAGTAGTATATGTTTTCTGAAATGGACCTGTCTCTGCTTCTGTCAGAACTTTAGTGTTTGGTATTTGGGTCAGTCTAGTCAGGTTGTCATTGTTTCTTTTATTGTAATTATTATTATTTTTAATACACTACTGGGCTTTACATTCTTTTGAAAGATGGCAGTTATGCTGAGTTTTGTGTTAGACCTGGGGTGCTGGAGTGTTTTTCCTAATGTTACTTTTTCACCATCTTCCTTTATCATATTCCAGATGGCCTAACAGTATATGCCTCTTTCTGTTCCCTTGCTTCTCTCTCAAAAATACAGTATATTGCTGTTTCTTATTTGTTACTTAATATGAAACGCCAGATAGGAACAGAGTAATTTATTGGTCCTCCTATACCAATCTCAATATTGGCACTATGCACCTGAGTTTTATATAGGATATAAAACTAGTTTTCTAGTCTTACAGTCCTATCTCTCATGGGAGTCAGGTTCTTTGTATAAATGGTCTTCCTATCTCATCTCTTGCAACAGCTTGCTTGTGTTTTCTTTTTTCTACCTCTTCTCTGCATTTGTCCTAGATGTAAATGAGCTTTTTGCTTCCTATAAAGAGGGGTCCATGATGCTCTCATGCCTTGTGCCTGTCTCCCCATAGCAGTTGATCACTCCTGTGGCTGTACCAGTAAAGATGGTCCTTTTAGGTCCTCATGCTTTCTCATGAGCATAGTAGGAACCTGTGGAAAAGAGCTGAGAAATGGTCCACTTTTAACTCTGAAGCTTGTGCAGACTCTAAACTGTTACTGTAGCTTATACCTAGCCTTTAAGAATTGCTTGAAGGAGATGGCCAGTTCAGGCTACCTATCCACTATTGCTAGGAGTCTTAGCTGGGGTCATCTTTGTAAATTTGTGGGAGTTTCCCTTGCACCAGGTTTCTACCTGACCCCGAAATGTCCCCCACTACACTAATTGTCATCAGAGAGCTTCGTCTGGTAACTGATGGAAGCAGATGCAGAGATCCACAGCCAAGCACTGAGCTGAGCTCCGGAATCCTGTTGAAGAGAGGGAGGAAGGATTGTACGAGCTGGTAGAGGAGGGCTGTGTGTCAATGTCATTACAAGGGAACCCACAGGGACAATTAACCTGGGCTCTTAGGAGCTCAAAGACCCTGGAAAGACAGCTAAGGACCAACCTAGGCCCTGTACATATGTGTGACAGTTGTATAGCTTAGTCTACTTGTAGGACTCCTAGCAGTGGGAGTGCAGTCTGTCCCTGACACTTTAGCTGGCTTTTGGGAACCTATTCCTCCTACTGGGTTGCCTTACCAAGCTTTAAGGCAAGGGGAGGAGCTTAGTCCTACCTCAACTTGATAGGCCATGCTTTGTTGACACCCATGGGAGGCCTACCCCTTTCTGCACAGAAACAGAGGAGGAGTTTATGGGGGGAGGCACAGAGGGGAGGTAGGAGGAAGCAATGGGAGGAGAGGGGTGTAGGTGGACTTTTCTGTCCTACCAGCCAGTTCCCAAATAATCATACAGAGACTTATTATTAATTATAAATGCTCGGCCAATAGCTCAGTTTGTTATTAACTAGTGCTTATAACTTAAATTAACCCATACTTCTTATCTATGCTGTGCCATGTGGCTTGGTACCTTTTCTCAGTACGACAATTTCATGTCCTGCTTTCTCTTCATTTCCTTAAGACTCCCCAGGCTCTGCCCTGAAAATCCTGCCTAACTACTGGCTGTTTAACTTTTTTATTAAACCAATTACAGTGACATATATTCACACAGTGTGAAGGAATATTCCACAGAGGAAGGAGGGGAAACTGTGTCCTGGATGTAAAATAAATGAATAAGTTTAATTAATTAAAAAAAGAATTGATTGGAGGGCCAGTGAGATGGCTGAGTAAAGGCATCTGCTACCAAGCTTGATGACCTGAGTTCAGTTCCAAGGACCCACATGGTAGAAGAAGAGATATGACTCCCACAAGTTTTCATTTGACCTCCAAGTACTCACTGTGGTACATGGGCCCACACATATGATATGCATGCAATAAGTTAATTAAAATAGAAAAAATTACTTAAATTATTATTGGTCCTAGTGTCAGAGACCTGTAATCCAGCTACTCAGTAGGCTGAGGCAGAGACATCACAAGTTTAAGTCCTCCCTACCCTACACAGAGCAAGTACAAGGACAGCTTGGGTAACTTATTGATCTGTTAATGTCTGTACTTATAGTGCTCATAGTTTAGTTGTAGAGAACTTGTTCATCATACATAAAGCCCTAGTCAATATACAATTTCTACCACTCTACTTTGTTGTTTGTTTTCTTATTAATCACATTTATGATAGTCATTTTTCCTCATGTGTTCCCTTGGTGTTATAAAACAGATCATCTAGGGCTAGAGAGATGGCTCAGTGGTTAAGAGCACTGGCTGTTCTTTCTGGAGGAGCCTGGTTTGATCCCCAGCATTTGCATGGTGGCCCACAACCATCTATAACTCCAATCTCAGGGGATCTAATTTCCTATTCTGTCTTGTGGGCACTGCATACATGCTTTACTTAGCCATCAGTGCAGGCAAATGAATATTATATATATTATCAGAGGCCTGAATATGCAAGGCAAAGAATAATAAGACAGGACAGGAAGGGAGACAGGACAGGAAATCAGTTTTATTATTTTTTTATTTTATGTATGTTGCTTATTTGTGTGCATATATGTGGTATACATGCATGTTGCAGTGTCCATGTAAGGAGATCAAAGGAAAAATTGTGAGAATTAGTTTTCTCCTACCATGTGGGTTCTGAGGATTGAACTGAGGTGATCACACTTGGTAGTAAGTGTCTTTACCTGCTGAGCCATCTTGTCAGCTCCCTTTAAAAATGATAGAGGGACTGGAGAGATGGCTCAAAGGTTAAAAACAGTTGCTAGCTGGGAGGTGGTGATGCACGCCTTTAATCCCAGCACTGGGAGGCAGAGGCAGGCAGATCTCTGTGAGGTCAAGGCCAGCATGGTCTACAGAGTGAATTCCAGGAAAGGCACAAAGCTACGAAGAGAAACCCTGTCTCAAAAAAACAAACAAAAAGAACAATTGCTACTCTTGCAGAGGACCTGGGATCAGTTCCTAGCTCCCACATAGCTCCTCACAGCTCTATTTCAAAGGTTCTGGCACCCTCTTCTGGTCTCTGCAACCAACAGGCATGCATGCAGTGCACTTACATACATGTAGGCAAAACACTAGTACATATTTATTTAAATGTTTTTAAATGGTAAATAGAAACAGAACTATGAGTTGATTGAATCATTCTCTTTCCTTGCAGTTGCCTTCTCCTTTGGCTTCAGAGTGAAGCCTAAATTCCTTAGCCTGCCTGGCCTGGCCCATTGTGGTATTTCTTCTATACATTTAAATATAGCTATGGTTATATCATAACCTAAGCACTTACGTAACTGTGGAAGGAAACATCTAAAAAATAGAATAATACTTTAAAATTAATTTAATTATAATTGCTAATTCTGGTGATCTTGGATATTTATTTATGTTAACAAAGAAAATAATTTTTCCATTTGAATAGGCCTAAAATCCTCACCATGAAAATTGTTGGGAAGTGTTATCTGAAGGCTTTCTTATATCCTTCTCAAGAAATATACCTCTGTTATTCTCAATTTGTGAATAAAGTAGTTACATTGCATTACTAAGTATTATTGACACCCATCAGAAAGTTAATATGTGCACATTAATGTTTTGCTTGTATCATCATTTCAAGCATCAGTCTTTTGCACTTATTGGAATCATCTAAGACATTTACCTGAGGTTATATTATTTAGTAACAAAGCTGGGACATGAATTCAGGTTTAAAAGTCTTCAGTTTTATGCTTTGTTCTTTGCATCATTGAATTATTCAAGATTTCATCTCCCAAGTTTTTCTTCTACTTGAGTTCAGGATACTTGCTGATGAGAGATTTTTACTGCTATATTAACTGGTTCTTCTGATAGATGAATTCTTGGAAAGCTTACCTAAGAACCTCGCCCCCCCCCCAATTATGAGGAAAATTGATACTTTTTTCAATTAGCTGAAGTTTTTTGAACACTAAAGAAGGAACCCAACAATCACAACTGTATACAAAATATGCTGAAATATATGTGGTTCAAAGTAAAAATGTGGAGGGCTGTGATCATGAAGTACCTAACTTGAAACCTATAGCTTTTCTTGCTTCGTTCTTTAAATGGCAGTAGAAATTGTCTTATTACATATCAGTTTCAGGAATATCAGAGAACACAGAACACATGGATGTCAGAATTTCTCATAACATGACCAAAAGTATCCGAAGTCCTTATTCCCTTCAAGAGGAGTCTGAATGTTTAGTAATAGTCTTTCATTTCTTTGCATGTGCTGGAGAATGCTAAGATACTCTCAAAGTCTCAAATCTGTAGATGGCTCTTAAGAAAGTTGTAGCTTTAAGCCGGGCGGTGGTGGCGCACGCCTTTAATCCCAGCACTCGGGAGGCAGAGGCCGGCGGATCTCTGTGAGTTCGAGGCCAGCCTGGGCTACAGAGTGAGTTCCAGGAAAGGCGCAAAGCTACACTGAGAAACCCTGTCTCGAAAAACCAAAAAAAAAAAAAAAAAAAAAAAAAAAAGAAAGTTGTAGCTTTAATGTGAGCTATACTGAATGCTTTGTTTAGAATTGAAAATATTTATTCTGCTATTTTAGGTTGGTGATGTAGTAGAAGTACAGGCAGATGAAACCTTTCCCTGTGATCTTATTCTTCTGTCATCCTGCACAACTGATGGAACCTGTTATGTCACTACAGCCAGTCTTGATGGTGAATCTAATTGCAAGGTATTGGAGACTAAACCTGACCTGAGCATTTTATTCTCAGAATGGTTAATGAGACAGTACTGTCTCCTAACACTCCTTGATCCCTTAACTCATTTTTACTATTCATGTAAGTTTTGTATTTGTAGACAGTGGTTATGTAATTATATTTGAGCTTCTGAGTAAACACCCACCCTGGAGAATAGGTTTGCATTGTTGAGGATGGGGGGAACCATGCCCTAACCAAAAAAGCCATCACAATTTTTATAGCACCACTCAAATTTAATATTGAAATAATTCAGTTAACTTTTTGTTTTTTTGTTGTTGTACTTAGGACTGAACTCTTGGCTCACACATGCACAGTAGAACTAGCACTGAGCTATTTTACTGCCCTTGGCTTTTACAAGTGAGAATACTTGTGAGCCCAAACTACATAACTACAAAAATACTTCAAGTATTGTAACTTTAATTCATCTATTTTTATTTTTAAAGGGTTGTATAGTTTGTTTAAAACATTTATTCTGGGTCTGAAGAAATAGTGCTATAGTTAAAAGCACTAACTGCTTTTCTAGAGGGCCTAAGTTCAATTTCTAAAACCTATATAGTAGTTCACAATCAGATGTAATTCCACTTCCAGGGGATCCGAGTCCCTGGCTTGCTTGGGCATGCCCTGACCTGTTCGGACACTAGGCACACAAGTGGTACACAGATGTACATATAATCAAAACACCCATACACGTAAAATTAAATAAATATTCCTGTGATATACCCAGTCTAATATGGAGTAATTTCATTACATGTTTTAATACCTTAGGAAATAGTTTAATAAATGTTTTATTTATTGTAACTAGGAAGAGTTTTAAGTATGTTATAGTCAATTTAATCAAAATGGGTGATAATGTACTTTGCTGGTACTTTCTGGCAAAGCCAGTTTTTGGCCGTGGTCATCCAGTGTTCCACAGAGCATAAAGACTTGTCCTTTCTGTGCTGCCTTTAAGGAGTAATTCTGGTTCGGTGTGGTGGTGCATGCCTTTAATCCCAGTACTTGAGAGCAGAGACAAATGAATCTTCGTGAGTTTGAGGCCAGCCTGGTCTACATAGGGAATTCTGAACCAGCCAGTGCTGCGTGGAGAGATCTTGTTTAAAAGAAAAAAAGTAGTATTACTAATGAGCTCACATGTGGCTGTAGCTGAAGTTTGCTCTGGTCCTGCCCAACCCCACAGACCCTGCAGCCACTTATAAAATAATCACTCAGAAGCTTATATTAATTAAAACTTCTGGGCCATTAGCTCAGGCTTATTATTGACTAGCTCTTAAACTTAAATTAACCCATAATTCTTATTTATGTTTAGCCACGTGGCTTGGTACCTTTTCTCAGTTCTGCCTTCACATCTTGCTTCCTCTCTGTCTGGTTGGCGACTCCTGTCTCAGCCTTCCTCTTTCCAGAATTTTCCTTGTCTGTTTATCCCTCCTATACTTCCTGCCTGGCTACTGGCCAATCAGCATTTTATTTATCAACCAATGCGAGCAACACATTCACAGCATGTAGGGCACCATCACCCATCATGTGGGTATATATCTTTGGGGAGGTCTCCTATTTGTTTTTTCCCTGTGGAGTTAAGGAGTTGGACTCAGAATGTGAAATAAAACCTTTACTTGTTAGTATTTACTGATTTTGTATTTCAAGCACATGACACTAATTTACTGGTGTCTTAGACTGTTCAAATACTGAGTTATATTTTAGGGATTATCAAGATAGAGAAATCTAGCCTGGCGTGGTGGCACATGACTTTAATCCCAGCACTTGGGAGGCAGAGCCAGGTGGATCTCTGTGAGTTCTAGGCCAGCCTGGCCTGCTGAGCGAGTTCCAGGACAGGCTCCAAAGCTACACAGAGAAACCCTGTCTCAAAAAATGAAAAAAAAAAGATAGAGAAATGTACCTAAAGATTCTCTATCGTTGAAAATTGTAGCTAGAGTTTTCCTGCCTGGCCCACAGTCAGGACAAATCTCTCTCACCTGCCAGTCCCACAGCCGCTCAGACCCAACCAAGTAAACACAGAGACTTATATTGCTTACAAACTGTATGGCCATGGCAGGCTTCTTGCTAACTGTTCTTATAGCTTAAATTAATCCATTTCCATTAATCTATACTTTGCCACGTGGCTCGTGGCTTACCAGCATCTTCACATGCTGTTTGTCATCGTGGCGGCTGGCAGTGTCTCCTTCTGCCTTCCTGTTCTTTCTTTCCTCCTCTCTGTTAGTCCCGCCTATACTTCCTGCCTAGCCACTGGCCAATCAGTGTTTTATTTATTGACCAATCAGAGCAACACATTTGCCATACAGAACATCCCACAGCAGAAAATATTGTTTAGAGGAAGAAAATGTTCAGTTTTCTTTTATTCATTAAGTGGCAATAAATCAGAATTCTTAAAGTCAGGCAGTAGTTTTAAATATAAAGCAAGAAGTTCTCTAATATCCCTAAAGACTGTGTCAATAGCTTTCTTTGTGCATGAGTGGTATAATACTTGAATCTGCATTAAACTTTATTGACAGTTTATAAACAGGATCATTAGATCTTGTCTTGCATTTTGGATGAATAAGAGTATGGTACACATATGTAGAATATTTTAATCATTGAGTATAAGACATTATCTTTCTGCTTCTATATAAAATACATCCATATTGAACAGTTTCAAAATCTTTAAACTTTTATATAATAGAAGAGAAAAAATATGTTAAAATCTTCATGGGGATTTCAGTTAATTATATGCATGCTACAAATATAATACACTCCAGTGTCAGTGTCAAGGAAGGTTTTTGTTTTTCTTTTACCTTTGAAATCCTTTTGGAGCAGGGTTACCTAGTTATTTGTAACATATTTTAAGAATAGTATAGAATGTCCGTCAACATTTATAATATTCTGCTTAACCCTCTTACTCTAAAATGTGCTGTTTCTGGAATCAGTTGGCTATACAGTTATGCAAAGAAATACCTTATATTTGATTATCTTGTGCTTTCATATAGACACATTATGCAGTACGAGATACCATTGCACTGTGTACAGCCGAATCCATTGATAACCTCCGAGCAGCAATTGAATGTGAACAGCCTCAACCTGACCTCTACAAGTAAGCACCTTATTTCACTTTATTGCTGTCTGTTGGCTCTGCTTCTTTTTTTGCCACCAGTATAGCAAAGAAACACCCACTACTTACTTACCAGTCTACTCTTGCGTATATTTTTATGAGCTGTTCTTTCTCCTGGAAAGGAAATGAATCAAATCAACATTGCTCACTACCAGCCTAAGAGAATTCATTGTGGGCCTAGATATCCTATGTTTTTTTTTTCTTTTCTTTTTGTTACTTGTAAACATGGCTGTTAGTTTTTTTAGATTGTTATCCCAAGCCTCATCTATTAGACTAATGGATTTCCCAGAGTTAATTAAAAAATAAACCTTTTACATCTTATCCAACATGAAACAAGCAAGAGTATATGGGACAGTGCAATTAGTAGGCACAGCATCGTTTCTTGTTAATGATTATGATGAACTGAAGATTTCAGATAAGCTGTTTGTTGTCCACAATAAGCCATTGAGTTCAAGGACCAGTAAACTGGTGTTTTCTTCTGGCTAATGGATGTAGGTTTTCTGATTAACATTCATTGTGGGTTGTCAAATATTTGGCATTAGCTTCTAGGATTGGTTAATTGAATTAGGGTGTGGTACTGCTGAGGGGTGTAATAGTTTTTAATTCATTTAATTCTATACCACTGTTGCAGGTAACATCCACTATATAGGCAAGCCATCATCTTAATTCATGTTGTTGGTCATAATGGAGGACCAAATGACATTGAATTTGATTTACTCTAATATGGAAATATATCCTACTATGAGAATGTTGATTCCTGCCCCCTACTTCATTCCTTGTTTCCTCTTTCTCTCTCTCTCTTTTTTTTTTTTTTTTTGGTTTTTCGAGACAGGGTTTCTCTGTGTAGCTTTGTGCCTTTCCTGGAACTGGCTTTGTAGACCAGGCTGGCCTCAAACTCAGAGATCCACCTGGCTCTGCCTCCCAAGTGCTGGGATTAAAGGTGTGTACCACCACTGCCCGGCCTCTTTCTCTCTCTCTCTCTCTTTTTTTTTTTTTTGTTTACCTTGATACTAAGAACTAGAGCCACACCAAAAAAAAAAAAAAAACTTTCTCCACTTTCTTTTTTTTTTTTCCTTTCGAGACAGGGTTTCTCTTTGTAGCTTTGGAGCCTGTCCTGGTACTCACTCTTAAAGGCGTGCGCCACTACTGCCTGGCATCCACTTTTAAGAACTCAATGAACAAAGGATATCAATCAATAAAGCCAAGCTTACAGTACAGTAATAAAGATGTATGCAAAGTTCATGAAATCACAGAAAAGGGATTGGCTTATTCTACCTGAGAATATAAGTATGTATTTTACATACATACAAACATATATACACTTGCATATTTATAAGGGAAATTCCCAGATTTTACACTTGCCTTAAATATGAAGGAGAAATTAAGGTAGTCAAGGTTATCCTAATTTACTAAGCTGAATCCCTTTAATGTGACTTCAGAATACCAAGTGTTTCTACCACTCTGATAGAAATCATTTGTACTGTATTTATCAAATTCACTTACCTTTCTTAGGGCAAAGAATATGCCTTTTTAGTTTATTGTATCCTCAACATCTATCTGGTACAGTACTTTCAAAATTAACAGAGTGAATGGATAGGTCTTCCTATTTTGTATATAAAAGTATTTAAATTGAAGTGCTACAGAGATTAACTCAGTGGTTAAGAGCATGCATAACACACACATTAGACTTCTCATAACCACTCATAGCTCCAGGAGATATGATGCCTCTGGCTTCTTTGGGCACATTCATTCACATGAACAAACACAGAGATACACATATGTTCATACAATTAAAAATGAATAGGTTTTTATTTATTTGTTTGTTTGTTTTGTTTGTTTGTTGGTTTTTTGAGACAGGGTTTCTCTGTGTAGTTTTGCTCCTTTCCTGGATCTCGCTCTGTAGACCAGGCTGGCCTCGAAATCACAAAGATCTACCTGGCTCTGCCTCCCGACTGCTGGGATTAAAGGCATGTGCCACCACCGCCCAGCCCATGAATAGGTTTTTAAAAGAGAACATGAATTTTGGTTGGTAGGAATGTGGATATGAACCTAGGAGAAGTTGCAGGGGTGAATATTATCAAAATACAATACATTGTATGAAATTCTCAAAGAATTAATAAAAATATTCTAAAAATCAAAATGTTTTAAAAGTATGTGAACTGTATAATATAGTAATACACTAGTTTCTGTAACTGAAGTTTTCCTGTTCCCACCCCGCTCCCGTGATCCTTCAGTCCTGAGTAAACACACAGAGGCTTATTTTAATTAAAACTGTTTGTCCATTTGCTGACTAGCTCTTACATTTAAACTCAGCCCATTTCTGTTCATCTATATGTTGCCATGTATTCCATGGCTTTACCTGTGTGCCATTACATGCTGCTCCCTGGACGGTGGGCTGGGATCTCCTGACTCAGCCTTCCTCTTCCCAGAATTCTCCTTGTCTTTTTATCCCACCTATACTTCCTGCCTGGCTACTGGCCAATCAGCTTTTTATTTATCAACCAATCAGAGCAACACATTCACAGCATATAGAACATCCCACAGCAAGTTTCTATAAAGAAAACACTATAATGCAAATTACAAAGTAAGTATAAAAGTCTCATTAAGCAGAGATTAGGCCTTTTTATCCTATTTTGCAGAAATGTAGGTTACTTTGTGTTTGGCCATATTAAGTGCTTGGATCAGATCAATTGCCAGATGCAAACAACATTTTCAAGGTGATATAGTCAAGTGTTCCTTGTAATTTTCATAAGTTGAAGCTGGGACTAGCTATACCAGTATCACTTGAGAATCTGACACAGAAGTTTAAGGATAGGACCTAGAAGTCTATTGTTTAATAAGCTTCTTTCTATCCACTGTAATTCATAAGCAGGCTCATGTGTAAAAATCACTGAACTAATCATTTTGAAAATTGTATATAGTATCAGAAACCATTCTTCTTCACATGAATCTAAAATAAAAGCCACATTATTTATAGAAATGTATCGTAAGGGTTTTTTTGTGTGTATAATACCAAGTAGAGCTTCAGTTAATTTAAAAATCTTTGTTTATAGTCTTATAATTTATCATATTATTTTAAAGGTTAGATTTAAATGTTGTATAATGTAACTTTTGTCCAGAAGCTTAATAGAATTTTAAATTTATTCAGTCTTATATTTTTCATTATTTGTAAACTGATGAATTTCCAATTGCTGGTATTTGGATTTTTATACTTGGTATTATGTTTTCTTTTCGTTTTTAACAGGTTTGTTGGGCGAATCAGTATCTATAGTGATAGTGTTGAGACTGTTGCCAGGTTAGTTTATTATTCCTTTTATTTATCCTTTTGGAAGGAGGGATGTTTAAACCCTCTTTTAAACCCACTAAAATAATCAAATACCTTTCCTTAAATAAAGTGAAAAGAAGATAACTAAGTAACCTTGTCATTAGTCGGGTTGTGGTAGTAGGGTCTCTTTGTGTTGGGTAGAAGATTATTATTGAAATAATGTTTAGAGTTTCCAAAAGAACAGAGCTCCATGGGACCAGCCAAATGTTCAGCTAATAAAGACACTTGTCACAAAAGCCTAGCTACCTGAGTCTAATCCCCAGAACCCACTTTATTTATTTATTTTTTTTCGAGACAGGGTTTCTCTGTGTAGCTTTGCGCCTTTCCTGGGACTCACTTGGTAGTCCAGGCTGGCCTCGCAGAACCCACTTTAAAGGTGGAAGGAGAGAACTGACTACATAAAGTTATCTTCTGACCACTACACATACATACTCCATGGCATGTGCACCTACACAAACATAGTAATTATATACCAAAAAGTTTTAGTTAAATAAAGGATCAGAGCTCTGTACCTGTTGACTGCTTTTCCAAAACTGTTCTAGACATCGCATATATTTTCCTTGGTTGTATAGTGGCTGACAAGGTTGAAAATAAAGCTAGAAAATAGTGGTTTATGGAAGAGTAGTTGAGGGTCTAGGCAGTGAGGAAAATGTTAGAAGAATTACTTGGACCTAAATAAAATGTAAGATTAATCATTTATGAGGAAATTCATACAAACAGGATGCTTTCTTTTCTCTTTTATCACATAGTTAATTGTCTCAGCTTTTCCATAATGCCTTGATCTCCCAAAAGTCAGGTTTCTTCTCTACGAAGATGCCATTGTGTTTTTGCAGCTTGGCATTTGTCTTCCCAGTCTTTTATCTGTGACCCTCTGTTTCTCACTTCTTATAGCTCTTTCTTGCTATCTATAAGTCATAATCTTTTGATGCTTCTGTGCATTTCTTTACTTCTGCATGTTGCTAGCTACTCTTGTATTGTGCACTTCCATCTGGCTGTACCCTCAAGTCACTTCAGATAGAGGGATCACTCTGCTCATTCTAGGGAGTAAGTGTATGGTAGAAATAGATACATTCTAAACCCCTTGGAGATGTATGTGTTTCAGGGGAAAATCTGTCCCCACTATTGATGACATTGTATGTTGTTTTGATAAACTGTGATTGTTTTTCATTTAGGTCTTTGGGACCTGAAAATCTTTTGCTGAAAGGAGCTACACTTAAAAATACCAAGAAGATATATGGTGAACAACTTTAAAAATATGCTGTTAAAATGTATTTCATAAAGCTTATGAATAAATAGTGCATGTTTAAAAGTGATCATGGCATATACTTGCCTTTTATTCTCAATGTATATTTATGTGTTGATAATTTATCAGATAATAAATTAACATGAGTATGATACTTTATACAATGTAAATTTTAATATGAGTGATATGTCACTTGATGAGTAGAAAGACTTAGAATTTTTACCCTTGTAGACTGTGAAGAATTCACAGAACAAAACAGGTAGGAGTTTGGCTAACCAACTTACCTGTAAGCAGATTTTTATTATACTCTATTATTCTTTAGGAGTTGCTGTTTACACTGGGATGGAAACCAAAATGGCTTTGAACTACCAAGGGAAATCTCAGAAACGTTCTGCTGTCGAAAAGTTAGTATGCGCCACAATTTTTTTTAGTCGTTATTGATTGAAATAGTTACTTCTTTTGGTAACTCCAAATAACAATACAGAAACTCATCATCCACAACAATAACAGCTATCATTTTAAGCACTTGTTTTTGTTCATGAAATAGTCGTTGCTGATTTATGTCTGATTTGATTTAATCCTCTGAATAATTCTATGAAGTAATTTATGTTAGACTCTTTCAACTATACAGACGAAGAAAAGGTCTCCAAGATAATAATTGAATTAACTGAGCTTGCATAGGTTTAAATGGCACCATTTACCTAAACTGTAAAATTCATTTCCTTTTGTTACTGAATTTGGAGTCCTTTAGCAGATATGTTCAAGTTGGTTCTACAGTATTGTTCTAGTAGACATTGGAGTGGTACCTGGTAGATCATGAAGGAAGGTGCCACTACTAGGGGTTTCTCTTCTTAAAATTTAATTTTTAGGGGTTATTTATATGTATGTGACAGTGTCTCATACAGCCCAAGCTGATTTTAAACTAGCTACATGAGCTGAGAATGATCTTGATTTTGTAATCCTCCTGCCTGTGCCTCCCAACTACTGAGATTATAGATACTATCATGCCAGAACACTTCTTTCTTTATAGGCATGGATATGACTCATTGTGCCTTACACAGAACTCTACTTTGAAATAATATTAAGAGAATATATGCTGAGCTTGAGGTTTCACATTTGCTATTCTACCTTCAGTTTGAAATATTTCATCTTTTGAGGAGGAGATACAAACTACACTTTATATAAAAGTTAAGTAGGTACTAATACATATGGTTATGTCTGTTTCCACTTATTTTAAAAGGTGTGTTTGACAAGCCAGACATTGCACCTTGGGGAACATTAGTGATCAATAAACTAGATTTTCCATTTTGCTATTTAACAGTGATTCTTCAGCTGTGATAATTAAGGTTCTTACGTAAAATTTGGGATATGATTATTACAATATACAAGGGAGAGTCTTTAGATTATTTAAGACTAAACTAAATCAAAATTAAACAATTTAAATTTATATTTTGCTTATGTCTTAAGTAATTAGACATAATATCTTATTTTTCAGATCTATTAATGCCTTCTTGATTGTTTATTTATTTATCTTACTGACCAAAGCTGCAGTATGCACAACTCTAAAGTATGTTTGGCAAAGTACCCCATACAATGATGAACCTTGGTATAACCAAAAGACTCAAAAGGAACGGGAAACTTTTAAGGTAATTAACTTGCTATGATGAATGTTAACTCTTTTGTAAGTAGGCTATCCTTTACTAAAACACTGCTCAGAAAAAAATGATACCTTTTGATTTAGATTTAATTTTATTCCTTACTTTATATATGTCTATGCTTATTTTTAACTCTTTCCTTAAGAGACTGGAAAAAATAATGAGCTTTCAAGCATTTTAATTCAATATGAACTTGTGCAAATCTATGTATAAACTTTGAATATTCCTATCTATGAATGGAAGGAACTTAGGACTTAATGAGGTGAAAAAGTAGTAAAGTGGAAAGCACATATACTAAAAAATATAGATAAAATTGAGAGTGTTCTAAAATGTTCTTTTGTTGTTGTTGGTTTTTTTTTTTTTTTGAGACATGGTTTCTCTGTGTAACAATCCTGGCTGTTCTGGAATTCACTCTGTAGACCAGGCTGTCCTCGAACTCACAGAGATCTGCCTGCCTCTGCCTTCTGAGTGCTGGGATTAAAGATATGTGCCACCATTGCTCAGCTGAAAATGTTCCTAATACTAATAATTTTGACTATAATGATATAGTGTCATTAGGGAGTTTCTTTATATTAAAAGAATGTTAAGCATTGAAACGGAAAGAAAGCCACTTTATGTTGTTCGTATTCATCTGAGGAGGCTGTGAATCAAATTAACATGAACTATTTCTTATTTTAGGTTTTGAAAATGTTCACCGACTTTTTATCATTCATGGTTCTCTTCAACTTTATTATTCCTGTCTCCATGTATGTCACAGTAGAAATGCAGAAATTTTTAGGCTCATTTTTTATTTCATGGGATAAAGACTTTTTTGATGAAGAAATTAATGAAGGAGCCTTGGTTAACACATCAGACCTTAATGAAGAACTTGGTCAGGTGAGAACACAGTTTTTGCTTAAATTAAATACAGTAAAAATCTTTTCTAGTCTGGAATACTAATACATGTAACTGTCTTAGGGTTTCTATTGCTATGAAGAGACACTACAACCTCTATAGTTCTTATACAGGAAAACATTTAATTGGGGCTATCTTACAATTTCAGAGGTTTAGCCCATTATATTCATGGCAGTAAATATAGACATAGTGATAGAGAAGGAGCTGAGAGTTCTACATGTTGATCATCAGGCAGTAGAAGTGAATGCTACACAAGGATAGTTTGAGCATATGAGACTGCAAAGCATATCCCCACAGTGACACACTTCTTCCAACAAGGCCATACCAACTCCAACAGGGCCACACTTCCTAATAGTGCTACTACCTATGAACCTATAGGAGCCATTTTTATTCAAACCACCACATTCCACTCCCTGGCCCCCATAGGCTTGTAGCCATATAATAATGCAAAATGCATTTAGTCCAACTTCAAAAGTCCCCATAGTCTATCAGTCTTAACAGTGTTTAAAATCCAAAGTTCAAAGTTCAAAGAGATGCATGCAGTCTCTTAACTGTAATTAATCCCTTGTAAAGTAAAAATGAAAAGCAGATCACATACTTCCAACATACAGTGGCATGGGATATACATTACCATTCCAAAAGGGAGGAAAGGAAGCATAGTGAGGAAAGTTGGACCAAAGTAGGACCAAAAACCAACTGTTAAAACTCCAAACTTCATCTCCATGTCTGATGTCAGAACCCTCTTCAGATCTCCAACTCGTTTCAACTTTGTTGACTGTAATACATTTCCTTCTCTTGGACTAATTCCATTCCCTGTTAGCAGCATTCCTTGACAGGTACAGTTGGACTTTCTTTTGTACTACCAGCTCACAAATAATGACACAGAGACTTTTTATTAATTATGAAAGGTTGGCGTTAGCTTAGGCTTGTTCCCAATGAGCTCTTAAAACTTAACCCTTTATATTAATCTATGCTCTGCCACTCAGCTTGTTACTTCCCCACAGTACAGTATATCCCTCTTCCTCTGTGTCTGGTTGGTGAATCTCCATCTTTCAGATTCTTCTCTGGAGTTACTCTCTCCCCCCTGTAAGTCCCACCTATCCTCTTCTGCCTACCTATTGGCCATTCAGCTCTTTATTAAACCAGTCAGAAGGTGCCTTGGCAGAGACACATCTTCAGTGTACAAAAAGATTATCCCACAACAGGCAAGTATCCTACAACTCTGACATCTCCAACATCTTGAGTTCTCCAAAGCAATCCATGTTTTATCTTCATAGCTTCACACAGTGGCCTTTCCTGGCCTCCATGCCAGGGCACCCTTGACACATGGCTGGCCTCAGTAGCTTTCCTTAGTTGTGAAGGGAGATTCCATAACCCCTTCTTCTATCCTTGACTCTAAAGCCAGAACCATGTAGCCAAAGCTGCCAAGTTCTACTGCTTGCTGGAGCTGGACTATGGCCCCCTCATTCAATTACATTGTAGCTAGAGTTTTCTCTCCAGGTCCCGGCAAGCCCGGCAGTCCAACAGCCCACTTATAAAATAAACACACAGACGCTTATATTATTTAAACTGTTTGGCCTAATGGCTCAGGCTTCTTGTTATCTAGTTCTTATATCTAAATTAACCCATTTTTATTAGTCTATAAGTTGCCACATGGCCCGTGGCTTACCGGTACCTTACATCTTGCTTGTCATGGCGGCGGCTGGCAGTATCTCTCTGACTCAGCCTTCCACTTCCCAGAGTTCTCTTCTCTTTGTCCCGCCTATACTTCCTGCCTGGCTACTGGCCAATCAGTGTTTTATTTATTACCCAATCAAGCAATACATGTAACATACAGAACATACCACAGCACTACATCTTCACCAACTTTCTGTTTTCGATGCATTCCTTCACTGCCTAAACTTGGCTGTCCTGAAATTTGCTCTTTAAACCAAGCTGGCCTCAAACTCAGAGATCCACCTGCCCCTGCCTCTGGAGTTCTGTGATTAAAGGTGTGTACCAACACACCTTGCTCTAAGCTTTTCTTTAATTCCTTTTCACAAGTTGGAAGATTAGCTAGGTGGGATCTTGCCATAAGGCTACCATTCCCTTTGTTCCATTTAACATCAGGCTTTTCTTTTATTATTATTATTATTATTATTATTATTATTATTATTATTTCTTTATTAAGAAATTCACCTACTCACTCCACACACCACCCACAGATTCCACCTCCTCCCTCCTCCCAGCCCTCTCTCCCAAGCTACTCCATACCCACATCTCCCAAATCAAGATCTCCCATGGGAAGTCAGCAGAGCCTGGCATCCTGAGCCTAGGCAAGTCCAAGCCCCTTCCCACTGCACCAAGACTGCACAAGGTGTCACACCACAGACACTGGATTCCCAAAAGCCTGCCCATGCACCAGGGATGGATCCCGATCCCCGCACCTGGGTGCCCCCAAACAGTTTGCGCCAAACAACTGTCTTCTGTATCCAGAGGGCCTAGTTCAGTCCCATGGGGGCTCCACAGCCACTAGTCTACAGTTCATGGTATTCCATCTCTGCACGTCTTCCCATCATAATCTCGATGTCCCCGCCTGCAGAATCCCTCCTCTCTCTTATCGATTGGATTCCCAGAGCTCAGCCTGGCGCCTGGCCATGGATCTCTGCATCTGCCTCCATCAGTCACTGGACAAGGTTCCATGATGACAGTTAGGGTATTTGCTGGACTGGTCACCAGAGTAGACCAGTCCAGGCACCCCCTAGACCACTGCCAGCAGTCCAAGGTGGGGTCATCCCTGTGGTTTCCTGAGAGCGTCCCCAGCACCCTGCCTCTTCCCATTCCCTGGATTTCCCCATCCATCACGGTATCTCCCTCCCCACCCTCGCACTCTGTCCCCGCTCCAGCTCGACCCTCCCATCTCCCTGTGTTCTTATCCCCCACTCCTCGCCCTCTGCCACCCCCTAGTCCACTCATGCAAATCTCATCTACCTCTCCTTGGCCTAGTCCAGTCCTATGGGGGCTCCACAGCCACAAGTCCACAGTTCATGGGCTAGTGTGGCCGGTCATCTCTGCACATCTTCCCATCATGATCTCGATGTCTCCTGCCACCAGAATCCCTCCTCTCTCTCATCAGTTGGATTCCCAGAGCTCAGCCTGGCACCTGGCCGTGGATCTCTGCATCTACCTCCATCAGTCACTGGACAAAGGCTCTATGATGATGCTTAGGGTATTCACTAGACTGGTCACCAGAGTAGACCAGTCCAGGCACCCCCTGGACCTCTGCCAGCAGACCAAGGTGGCGTCATCCTTGTGGATTCCTGAGAGCCTCCCCAGCACCCTGCCTCTTCTTATTCCCATGATATCCTCATCTATCATGGTATCTTCCTCCCTGCCCTCCCACTTTGTCCCTGTTCCAGCTTGACCCTCCCATTTCCCTATGTTCTCATCCCCCACTCCTCGCCCTCTGCCCCCCCACACACCTAGTCCACTCATGTAAATCTCATCCACTTCTGCTTCGCAGGGTCATCCATGTGTCCCTCCTAGGGTCTTTCCCTGCTAGCTAGCCTCTCTGGAGCTGTGGGTTGGAGTCTGGCCATCCCTTCCCTCACATCTAGTATCCACTTATGAGTGAGTACATACTATGTATGTCCTTCTGAGTCTGGGTTACCTCACTCAGGATGATATTTTCTAGTTCCATCCATTTGCATCAGGCTTTTCTTAAATCTGTTTATCTGCTTGAACACAGGGTTTAGGTCTATTCCACTTCCTGGTGCTCCTTTTCTCCTCAAATTGTACATTTTGTAACTTTCCTTGGTCAGTGGGCTCCTTTTCATTATATATCTATGTAAGTATGGCCACTAATAACCACATGACACAGTGCACCCTAGGCTGTTTTGAAATCTCCTCTTCAAATGAAGTTTATCCAAAACTCATTTACTCTTAGGCAGACTTTTTGGACAAGGGCAAAAAGCAGCCACATTCTTCACCAAATCATCACGAGAATAGCCTCCAGGCCATATACTAACATTTTTCTCTGAAACCTCTTGAGCCAGGTCCCCACAGTTCAAATCACTCTTAGCACCACTGTCTTCCATGTACCCACTAGTATGGCCCATTAAGCTCTACTTAAAGCCATCAACTTATTTTCTAATCCAAAGTCTCCATTCCTCTAAAAACATGGTCAGACCTATCATAGCAATACCCCAGTCCCTGGTACCAGCTTCTCTCTTAGTTAGGGTTTCTATTGCTGTGAAGAGACACAATGACCATGGCAACTCTTATAAAGTAAAACTTTTAATTTGGGTGGTTTATATTTTCAGGTTTAGTACATTATCTTCATGGTGCAACAGAGTGGTGTACAAGCAGACATGGTGCTGGAAAAATAGCTGAGAGCCCTTCATCTTTACTTGCAGGCAACAGAAATGAACGTCACACTAGGCTTAGCTTGAGCATATGAGACATCAAAGACCACCCCCACAGTGACACACTTCCTTCAACAAGGCCACACCTCCTAATAGTGCCACTCTCTATGAACCTATGGGGCCATTTTTATCTAAATCACCACAGTAACCATTCCTTCTATTGATACATAACTCAAAGAAAAATATTTAACACAGACAGGTAATTAAAGGTTTACAGTATTTTTACAACTGTCACTTCAGTTTTTTGACTAGAATTTTTGCAAAGGATAAAATTTATACATTTGAGTGTTACAGAAATCCATATAAAAATTCACCAAGTGTTAGATTATAAACAGGATATGTGGTTTTCATTACTTTTGAATCATTTGTGTATAGAATAAGGTGTAATAAAATATAGCTATTTTACACATGCATATTGTTTGTTAACCATGGTTGTCTTATATTGACATTTCTAGTGTACATTTCTTACCACATTGAACATAGACCTAGCAAGCTATGTTTATTCCTTCCTTCTCAATACCATATCCCAGTGTACTTGCTTCATATAACAGTGTAACCAAGACCATGCCCTTGTTTCTA